TTCCGAGTGGACTCCTTCAATCTTAATCCGCTCGAGCGGATGCAGAGATAAATGTCAGATTCAATCGAATTCAGACTGACAGTCGTGAAGAAAATCGAATTTCCTAAATCAAATTGCGGCTTTTAAATTACCATTTCTGTGTTAATGTGGGGGAGGTTCGTTTCCATCTCATGTTTCTACTTTTGCGGCGATATTTTGCGATAGAAAGATTGTTATTTTATCGTAGTCTTTTTTCATTTTCTATAGAGTACTGGTGCTCGCATCAAAATTTTCTCCATCTGCGCGCCGCAGAGCACTGACAGGATCATTCAAATCAATGGGCAAGATTTTCAGTGCATCAATGCTATACAAGAAATTATCAAATTGACGAAAACTGTAAGTTTTGATTGCTTAACCGTTTGAATTGTATTGTGCAATATATTTATATTTAAACCTTTCTCTAGACACCGATAAAAGGAATCGTTAATCAGTATAATCCACACAATTACGATGAGTTTTATGCCGATGAATATGGTGGTTTTGGTTGCGGTGGGGGCGGAAACGGCAGTGGAGTTCAAGGCGATATGCGCCGCGGAGCTGGAGGCGGTCCGTCACGTGGTGGACGTGGTGGCGGTCCTCGGAATGGGGATCGCTTTAACAACCGTCCTCCTCCGCCTCGTGGTGGACCTCCACCAATGGGGTACGGTATTTTCTTGATATATTTTTGTATTTAACTTAAAAGTGAAATGATTATACTTCATAATTTTACTAACTTTTAATTGGTTAACGAATTCGATCTTGTCTCCAGGAATAACTTCAATGATCGCGGACCAATGGGACCAGGTCCAGGACCCATGCACAACCGTGGTAGTTTTGGTGGTCCACCGCCACCACCACGTGGAATGAACGGTGGGGGTGGTGGTATGAATGGAGGACCACCACCTTTTGAGCGTAATAACGGTTGGAGTAACGGACCACCGCCGCCACCAATAAATGGTGCCGGAAATGGTAACATGATGAATCAGATGCCACCGAATATGATGCAAGGGGGTGGAATGGGCAACAATAATCAACAACAATCCATGGGTGGCAATGGTGGCGGACCCGGTGGCATGCCACAAGGAGGCAATAACGGAAGCAATGGCGGTAATAAGACATCGACACAGGTCACGATACCGAAAGATGTAAGTGTAGAGCTTAGTTGTTGTTAGCCAGGCACATAACACCGTTTGTTTCGGTTGCAGCTCGCTGGGGCCATAATCGGCAAAGGTGGAAGTCGCATTAGGAAAATCAGGCAAGATTCCGGCGCTGGCATCACAATCGATGAACCGCTACCGGGCTCCAACGACCGCATTATAACGATAACGGGAAATCCGAATCAAATTCAAATGGCTCAGTATCTGCTTCAGCAAAGGTAGGTTTTTGTTTGTTTCGTTAATATCTACGATATCGTGATAATAAACGCGTGATAAATTTGTGATATGTACATAAAAATATAAATAGTTGACAATTTTATTACTTTGGAAAATGATTGCAATTTGCGACCGAAATACAATTGCAACATTTTATGATTTTTATGCCAATGTCCTGATTTCCTCTTGACCCAAATATGAATTTTATAGTCTCTCCATTGAGAGAAGTCCGCTAAAGCCCAGAGAGCACTTCCATCAATCTGGGATCAACAAATCTTTCAAGCAGTTCGATAGGTAACTGAATTTTGCAAGCTTCTTGTTTTAATATTCTGTTGTCACGTTTTCATTCACGCCATAAACTAATATATGTATACATTTTTGAGCTGAATATTTAATCGGAATAAATAGCTAACATTAGCCGGTGTAAAGGCACATTTAGCGGACTTCTTTCATACTAATATCATAATTGTGTTACATTAAAATAATTAATCCAGTCGCAATTGCAGAAACACTGATATTCTATTAATCATGTTCAGTAATGATCATCTTTAACAACTAAGGTGTGGACAACTACTACCGTTTACTAACAAATAGGTGGAATCGTGTGGAAGACTAGTGATTTTGTTGTTCTATTTAAAGTAACAAAAAATCACTAATCATCCCATGAAACCTCCGACACGCTTCGTTGGACTTGGTGCTTAAAAGGCGTGCTTCATTAAATCGCAATTGAAACTCTTTCATGAAATTCTTCATATCTTATATAAAATTTATTCAATTAATTTGAGTTATAATAAGGTATGTTGTTTTGTTGCAGTGTCCACAACAACACCGACCAACGAAATGGTTACTAAACCAAACACCAAAATGATTATCTATCTGGAGCAGACGCATCCAGCACAGCAACGATGGATAATACTTAAATATCAACAAACCCCAAAACTATTTTTTAAACAAATGAAAAAGTTTGTATAATTTTATATTTTAAGGAGTAATAAGCGCGTAGATAACAGAACTTGACATTCCACGGAAAATATTTCTAGATGGGCATTAGGTTTAACAGTTTTTTTTATTTGATTTTACAAATCAATTTTACACTCTACTATTCAAATTTTATCGTAACAGAGGAACAAGATCGAAAATCAGACACCAAAAATAAATATTTTTGCGAGTATTTTTGCATTCGACAATAAATATTTTTTTAAATACTTTTACGATATTAGGATGATTGCCAAGTATTCGTAGACGGGCTTGTCAGTGTTGAAAATCAAAATGTTCGGCCTCCATCGGTTTGTTTTTGCTTGTCAAGTTTTTCTTTTTAATTCTACATTCACATTTTTACAATAATTCGTTTTTAGTTTTACATTTAATTTTGAAAAAGACTGGTAATTACTTAGTTTTTGCTTAGAATTATTTACTAATTATTAAAAGACATGGGAAAGTCGGTCTGATCAGTTGTGCTTTCAAATATGTAATACAACTTCATAGATCATCCTATATCTAAATAATGCTATACATAAATGTGACAGATCAGAATTTGGTTTTGGTTTGTAAGTCCTGGATTGGACATTGCATAAGTTTTTAAGTGTCGATTTTCTTTACATTTCATATCACATCAAATACGAATGACTGAAATGAGTTTTTTTAGTTCCATAACATGTAATAGCGCATAAATACTTTGTTGCAGATGATTAGGGCATAATTTGTGACATGTTAGGTTGATTGTACAGTACTAATAAAATGACAGAAAATTTACAGAGCGGTCGCGATGCTCTTACCAATCAGGGAACAAATTGTTTAGTACAAAAAGAGAAAACCTTTATTCGTTACTTATATAAGATGAAAGAAAAATTAAATTAGGTCGAAATCTGTCTGTTCCATGAGACAAAAACAACTTGTAATGGGAAACGACTTGCGTGCAAAGAACTTATACATAAAAGAAAACAAATGTCAACCAAATATTTTTCTAGTTTAGTTTTAGTTTATACACATATGATCTAATAATAATGGAAACGTTTTAGAATAGCGCGTATACCATAAAATATGTATACATATAACACATAACAAAACAAACAACAAATACATACATATTCTAATCAATATTGTTCATGATATCTTTTGTATGACTCGGGGTCATTCATATTGGCTGTTGTTTTTTCCTGTTTAGTCAGTCGGTGGTACGCAAGTGTACTGTGTGCACGTATCCTCTTTCTCCTCCGTCACTGTTCGTCGCGACTGTTAGTATTTCGGACGATTTTACTACGGTGCGAGCCTTATAATTGTTTAGTCATCGATTGCTATCAACTACTGAAGATGTAATTTACCTCGACCCGACTCGAGACTTAAGACCACCACGTGCGCATGTTTAAGCCATCAGCCGCCGGCCGTCGGATCTCTTTCGTTGGGCTACGGATTCCAATTGGATTTATAGGTCAAAATGGTATTGTTAATTAGAGGGGACAAATCACGCGTTTTCTCCGTGTGGCATAGTTGTTAGTGCAAAAGTAATACAGTGAGTAGTACCATCAATTCTACTAACAGTTCTACTTTGTGTGTAACGTTTGATAAGAGAGCGTTGTGGCTCGATGGTACGTAGGATATGCCTTGGATCGTACATACGTTCGTTTTATTAAAAGGGAAAGAGGAATGTATTGTTAAACACAATTAATTAAACTCAATTTAAAATTAAAATATCATTCATACTTCTTTGTGATATCCTCTTTGTTGTTTTCAGGATATGCGTCTTAAATCATATTTCATATGAAGCTTAAGTAAGTGCAACATAGCTAAGGCATGTGTTGTTGTTTTTAAAAAGTTGAATAAATTAGGAACATAAATAGAAGAATCAAATACAAATGATAAAAACACTCGGTGGTCGAGTGGGTACGTGCACCTGCTGGCATGCTAGCAGACACGGATCGAATCTCAGGTATGGAAGGCATTTTTCTCAAATATAAAAATATCAGGTGCAATTTGGGTTGTATATATAAATTGCAACGAAATATGAGAGAAATTGAAATACAAGTGAAGGCAATACGAGAAGTAAGAAAGTAAGTGGTGAAACGAGAACAGAGAAATAGAAGAAGGAGGAGTAGTAAAGAATAGGAGAAGATAGAAGGAAGAGAACAGAGATAGAGTAGAGTAGAGAAGAGGAGAAGATAGAAGAAAAAGAACAGGGGAGGATCAGATTTTTAAATTTTTTGGCACGTGTCGTTATAAGACAGTCTATTCGCCCTCTGCTTCGATGCGTCCATTGCTCCCGGCCCATCCTACAGCTACGATGTCTCTGCGCTTCATCCCCGAAATTATCAGGCATATCAACAATTTTTATGGTGGGGGATCACCCCCAGAGAGAGGGAACTCCTTATAAGGACAATCCTTATAAGGTCTTGTTGAAATATTTCTAAGTTTTAAGTCGCCTCAAGTGAGGTGACACTTAAAAATATTCTTACAAGTTCTGACCTGTAGCTGAAATGAGAGAAGGAGTACACAAATCATACAGGATACCTTAACAATTTTTATACTGGGGATCATCCCCTGAGAGAGGGAACTCTCTTAGAGACCTGCTCCTGAAATGATAGAAGGGGTACACACAAATCAAAGAAGTCGATATATCTTACTATTTATTTATTAACAATAAAATACAAGTTTAGATTTTACAAGTCAACAAAATACAGGTCGCCATATTGAAACAAGACTTACGACCTGCATAGTCGCGCACATGCCAACAAATACTACTTCATAATGTCCTACCGAAATAATGAAATTAGTAAATAGCCAATTTTCTAGGTGATTGAAAATGGAAACAAATATACAGGGTGTTACAAAAGGTAAATTTAAAGTGCAAACAAAAAACTCAATACTACAAACGCCGCTCGTTTTCACTCGACGATCAGGGAAACTAATATACAGGGTGTTCCAGAAAAAAAATTTAAAGTGCAAATGGGAAAATCCTAAAAACAACAGCTAAAGTAAAATTTTCACGGACACAAAGGAAAACATATGAACAGAGTGTTTTAGAAAGAAAATTTCATGTTCAAAACAGAAAACACTCAAAACTCACAACTAAAGGTAATTTTCTACGTGCTGTTCGGAAAACTAATATACAGGGTGTTACAAAAAGAAAATTTTAGAAACTGCAAAGGGAGTTAATATTCACAATATGAAGAGGGAAATTTACAGATTAATAACAATATTTTAATATAAAATCAGAGATTTTAGCCCAAAAATAAAACACTTACATTTTAATATATTGTGAATATATAATTATCAATTGATGATAGCATCAACTGTATAAGGTAACCGACGGGTGTAGCATCATCATAAATTAATGGAATATCCGGCGGAAAACATCTACACGTAAATCAACCGACGGCAAGCGACGGTGCGTAGCAACACAGTGGTTAAAGACGATAAAAATAACTATTTCTTTGTAAATATTAAGATATACTGAGGCTGCGAAAACGAAAAACTATTCACCGTTCAAGATTTTACTTCCACAAAAAATTATTCATTTCATGATGCCATTCGATAAAAAATGTTTACGTGATCATCGAAAACATGACCGAACCGACGACCGACGGCAAAGTAAGCGTGGTCGACCACATGAATATTGTCATTTTAATAATCGTCAGATAATTTTAAAAACCGTGCTTGTTATAATTAAATCAAGCATGTTATTTTCAGAAACGCGACTAAGAAGAATTCTGATAAAAATGCCACCATGTGTTTGTAATCTACAATATTAATATCCCTCAAATTGAATACTCAATTTAAGTTAAACCGCCTTAATTTTCCGCAAAAAATTTTAATTATCCGCCTACCTGTGCATTGATGAGAAGATTTTCTATCCTGTAATATAGTCTATCAACTGAAAACTCCCGCAGGCATTAACGGTCACTTATTTCTCACTTAAGAAGACTCTAACCACGATAAATCATTAAACAAAACAGGTACACATGCTCATTGCGATTATTTTGCCGATGGACGAAAGAATACACGACGATTAATCCAATTAAAACCTCAAAACGCGTGGCGATTAGAGAGACACGCTCGCGGACCACGCGGTGAAACAACTGCCGTGTGCGCTGCGCGTAGCCGGGTCGGTCAAACAAAAAAAGTTGTTTATACCCAAACGTACTGATAAACACGTAGTTGAGAAGACGAAACTAAAAATTCACAATGTTGAAATACACATATAAGAAATTGACTTTTACTTTCAATATTTCACGGCATACGAAAAGAATTTATTGGCTCTGGGATATAATAAGATTGAGTCTTCGTAAAAGTTTACTGTATACCTTAGTGATACATTTATAACACTACGCATCGTAAAATTGAAATAAATAATTATATAAGTTATTATATTAATTTCATAAAAACAAATATGAAACTTTATATGAGCCGCTTATTTTGAAAGTGGCCTAACTCCATTTATCGTCAAATCGAGATATTGAAAGTTTTGCGTTTCAATGAATTTAAAAATATACGTATAAGATACTAAGGAGTCATACTACTTAAGCGTATCTAAGGATGTTAAATTTAAAGTTCCAGTTAAAATAGTGGCAATTGTTAAGTAAATAACGTGCGTTTCCTTATCAAGAATGGAGTTGGGCCACTTTCAAAATTAACAGCCAGAGTCATTATAAAATTTGAAGATGCCCAAATCCATTCAACATAATTTAAGATGTTTCAAATTGAAAAAAAAACGTCTTCGTTTCACAGACAGCTTCGTGAAGTAATACATTTTGTTTGTTAAAATCTGCCAAACCCCAAAACTTCTCAAAAATATTGTTTCTTTCTTCTTCATTAAAATTTTTTGTGCACGCATTACGACAACCACAATCTTTGTTTACGAATTTTTTTTTTCATGAACAATACTTCCTGTTTGAGTGCAATATCTTTTTCCTGAATTCCGTTTAATCTTTCGCAGTTTTTGGATATATGGTGCATCAATCTTTTCTCCATTGTTATTTGAATCTTCATCCTCTGACGAGGAATATTGTTCTATAACTCTTTTTCTTATACGCTTTTTTTTTAAATTATTAATTACTATTTCTTCTTCACTATCTGAACTAAGTGGTCTTCTTCTGTTTGTCCTCATGGGTGCAATAATTTCTATAATTTAATATTAAATTTTAAGTTTTATATTAATTAAACGTACAGGTTAATTATCTAACGCAGTTGTCCCAAAAATGAGGTAAACTTGTAAATACTAATTAATTGAAATTACCGTCATCGCTGCTTTCCGACATTATCAATAGTAAATATCTTGATGTAACTATAAATGGAGTTAGGCCACTTTCAAACTACACGTCTCAGTTATTCCATTAATTCGGAAAACTTATGTGTAAAAAATATACCGTATTTTCTCTGAATATAAGCAATCTGACGTGTGTCACTGATAAATAACATGAAGTTGTACATGTAACCATGGTAACCGGTAAAAAAATTGAAAAACGGAGTTAGGTCACTTTCAAAATAAACGGCTCATATATTTATGGTTTATGTATTATATTTTATGCAGTGCAGGTTTTAGCACTACCAGCGCCCTGGGTGAGATTTCTACGGCGCCCCCTAACTGCAATTCAAACCCATACATAAAAACTGACCAAGTGCAAGTCGGCGCCCCTAGGCGGTCGCCCAACTGCGCCATGCCCTAACGCCGGTACTGCGCAACGAGTACAAGTGTGTATACACACAACTATCAATATAACCCGCGTTACGGAATTTTCTCGCAATAAGTTTCAATACAGGGAGATACAGAATTAAATTCTGCATCTGGGAAAATTATTTCGAACTTATTGGGACATCGCGTTCGCGTGTTATACTAAAAAAACTACAATTCCTAGCGCAACGAGTACTACGGCGCACACATACAACTTTCAATATAACTCGCGTTACGGAATTTTCTTGCAATAAATTTCAGAACAGAGAGAAACAGAATTAAATTCTGCATCTGGGAAAATTATTCCGAACTTATTGTGATATCGCATTCACGTATTATTCTAAAAACACTACAATTCCTAGCGCAACGAGTACTACGGCGCACACACACAACTTTCAATATAGCTCGCGTTACGGAATTTTCTCGCAATAAATTTCAATACAGGAAAATACAGAATTAAATTCTGTATCTGGAAAAATTATTCCGAACTTATTGTGATACCGCGTCCGCGTTTTATTCTAAAAAAACTACAATTCCTAGCGCTACGAGTACTACGGCACACACACACAACATCGCGTTGTGTTATACTAAAAAAAACTACAATTTCTAGCGCATCGAGTACTACAGCGCACACACACATCTTTCAATATAACTCGCATTACGGAATACGGTGCCCTGAACACGAGTCACTTCTACCGCTACCCTCATACGGTGCCCTGATTCCTAGCGCAGCGAGTATTACGACGCACACACACAACTTTCAATATAGCTCGTGTTACGGAATTTTCCCGCAATAACTTTTAATAAAAGGAAATACAGAAATAAATTTTGCATCTGGGAAAATTATTCCAAACCTATTGTGACATCGCGTTCGTGTGTTATACTAAAAAAACTACAATTCCTAGCGATTTGGGTACTACAGCGCACACACACATCTTTCAATATAACTCGCATTACGGCATACGGTGCCCTGAACACAAGTCACTTCTACCGCTACCTTCATACGGTGCCTTGATTCCTAGCTCAACGAGTATTACGGCGCACACACACAACTTTCAACATAACTCGCGTTACGGAATTTTCTTACAATAAAATTCAGAACAGGGGGAAACAGAAATAAATTCTGCATCTGGGATAATTATTCCGAACTTATTGTGACACCGCGTTCGCGTGTTATACTAAAAAAACTACAATTCCTAGCGCAACGAGTACTACGGCGCACACATACAACTTTCAATATAACTCGCGTTACGGAATTTTCTTGCAATAAATTTCAGAACAGAGAGAAACAGAATTAAATTCTGCATCTGGGAAAATTATTCCGAACTTATTGTGATATCGCATTCACGTATTATTCTAAAAACACTACAATTCCTAGCGCAACGAGTACTACGGCGCACACACACAACTTTCAATATAGCTCGCATTACGGAATTTTCCCGCAATAAATTTTAATACAAGGAAATACAGAATTAAATTCTGCATCTGGGAAAATTATTCCGAATTTATTGTAATACGCGTTCTACGGGACACAAAATACACGCCGCCATATTGAAACGGGACTCCCGACCTGCATAAACGCGCACATGCAAGCAAGTAGCACTTCCCGAAGTACTATCGGGATTAGGAAATAGCTCATTTTCTATTTGATTGAAAACGGAAACAAATATACAGGGTGTTACAAAAAGAAAATTTACCAAAAGATCCGACGGCAAGCGTTAATTTTGAATTATTACAATACTCACGTTAAATGTGATTTAAGATTAAAATGTAATAAATTATGTTTTAATAAAGTTTACAAACTTACCAGTGTATCGGATAATCAAAGAAAGTACTGAAACAAAAAAAGCACGTGTGTGAGAATTCGCATTATGATGCTCACTTATTTAAATTCGTTCCGTCGCATAATGAACATGCACTATATTAACCGACAATATTCTTGCGACATCCTGCCAAAGAGAGACGTTAATTACACTTACTTAAAACTATCTATAGGATACAAATTTCTAATTTCAATTCTCAGCATCAAAATAATCCAATAGCCGACGGACCACTAACGCACGGATGAAGCATAAGTTTTATTATCATTTAACCGTGAACTCATCTTTCGCAAACCACTATACACGTCTATTGTTATTAAATGCCGATACTTATGCCGATTTTTAATTATTAAATAATAATGTAGTTAATGTAATAGAAATGAATAAAAGGAAGATGCCGAGCCGCGTGCAGGTAAGAACAGACTGAAATGGTCGAACGTTTGTAGCGTAAACGCATAATTGCGCGCGTATATCGCGATACAAAAAGTTGTTTATACGCAAACCCTGATAAGCGCGTAGAATTGAAATCGAAACATTTCTGATGTCCACTAAAATACAATATAATATAATGTTTCACATCAGTCGCAACTTCGACGCAATTTTACAAAAAGGATACAAACTATTGCACCAACGGATTCCGAGATACAAGCAAATTTTCACCGCGTGTTTCAAAATTTCATTAAAAAAAGTAAAAGTTTCAGAGCAATTTTAAGGCACTTCTAACAAGATTTTCGGGGGCCGGCAATATCGCATCGTATAAAATGCCTTTCGCGCAATGCCAATTTGAAAAAATCATTAAAATCGCACGAATGGTTCGCGAGATACCGCCAAATTTCCACCGCGTGTTTCGAAAATTCATATAAATAGTTAAAGTTCAAGAATATAAGCACGAGGACACAATAAATCTGGGCAGTTTTTGATAACAATTTAAGAAAAACAAATATACAGCGTGATACAACAAGAAAATTAAAAGTTCAAGAATTTAAGAGATGAAATTTTAATTCTTAATTCGCGAATATCTCGTAAACTAAAAGAGATATTTAAGATCTGTTCGCAGCGTCTTAATCTACGGACCAATCTCTATCAGATAGGATAGTTAAAACCGAAATCTGAGAGATAAAATTTTAAGTCTTAAGAAAAAATTGCCAAGGGGGTGCTTGATACTTTTTTTCGACGATTTTTAAAAATTAATATCTTTTAAACTAAAAGAGATAGCTACCAACGAATGGTTGATTATGAAAGATTGGAAAATTCTCTATCAGATAAAAATATAAAATAATTATATTTCCTACACTAAGAGGTCGAAAAACGCGACTAAAAGTGCTAAAAAGTGACATTTATCAATTTTTGCCCATTTTATTCAATCGCGAATATCTCGTAAACTAAAAGAGATATTTAAGATCTGTTCGCAGCGTCTTAATCTACGGACCAATCTCTATCAGATAGGATAGTTAAAAGGGAAATCTGAGAGATGAAATTTTAAGTCTTAAGAAAAAATTGCCAAGGGGGGGTGCTTGATACTTTTTTTCGACGATTTTTAAAAATTAATATCTCTTAAACTAAAAGAGATAGCTACCAACGAATGGTTGATTATGAAAAATTGGAAAATTCTCTATCAGATAAAAATATAAAATAATTATATTTCCTACAGTAAGGGGTCGAAAAACGCGACTAAAAGTGCTAAAAAGTGACATTTATCAATTTTTGCCCATTTTATTCAATCGCGAATATCTCGTAAACTAAAAGAGATATTTAAGATCTGTTCACAGCGTCTTAATCTACGGACCAATCTCTATCAGATAGGATAGTTAAAAGGGAAATCTGAGAGATGAAATTTTAAGTCTTAAGAAAAAATTGCCAAGGGGGGGTGCTTGATACATTTTTTCGACGATTTTTAAAAATTAATATCTCTTAAACTAAAAGAGATAGCTACCAACGAATGGTTGATTATGAAAAATTGGAAAATTCTCTATCAGATAAAAATATAAAATAATTATATTTCCTACAGTAAGAGGTCGAAAAACGTGACTAAAAGTGCTAAAAAGTGACATTTATCAATTTTTGCCCATTTTATTCAACGCGAATATCTCGTAAACTAAAAGAGATATTTAGGTTCTGGTCGCAGCGTCTTAATGCTTGATAATTTTTATTGACGATTTTTGATATTGAGTATCTTCCAAACTCGAAGAAAAAGAGATAGATATCAGCGAATTATAGATTATGAAAGATTGGAAATTTTCTATTAAGCAAGAATTTAAAATCATTTTAAATAATATATTATTTCAAATACGGTAATTAAATTGGAAATCTAAGAGATAAAATTTTAATTCAAAAGAAAAAATGGGCGAATCAGCTATATACAACCATGCTGGTAAGGTGCCCGAACACGATTCACTTTTACCGTTAGTTTGCGAGTCGCTCCTACCGCTGCCCTCGTACGGTGCCCTGAATGTGAGTCACTTCTATCGCCACCCCTTACGGTGCTCTGAACACGAGTCACTTCTATCGCCACCCTGCTACGGTATACCGAATGAGACTCAACTAAATTACCAAAAAAAATTAACAAAACCCTTCTTGCGCTATCAGAATCCTATAAAAAGTTTGGACATTTCACAAAGGTTTTCCGCAATATGATCCGTTTTCCATATTACCATTAAATATATACGCGGGCTATATTGCGGGCTATTGCAACACGCAGATAAAATGTGATAAAACATTTAACCGAATAATATAACTTAATTATAAACTTACTTATGCAGCGCTCATCGGATTGCAAGGGTACGGCAAGTACTGTAATTAAAAGAAAACATAAGTTAAAACAAAAACATTTCATACAATATGATAATACTATATTCCCACATGGGAGAAAACCAACTTTCTGTGCGGAGTATCGCAATGGTCAGATAAAAGTAACTTACTGAAGCACGAATAGATTAATCTAGCGACCGACCACGTCCTACAATAACCGAAATATTTGATTTGAAATATAAACATCAAAAGCAAGCAACAAAAAATATTTTTGCACGTTAAACGCACAATTACTTACAAGTATTAAAAAAACACTGCAGATGTATATTACGACTAAGTCGATTGATGACCGAATATAATGTAAACTTTGAAAATTGAAGTCTGATAAAACGAAACGCGTTGCGCGATATACGAATGGATACGCCAGAGACCGGCACGAGACTAGTTGCAATCCATCAATAGAGCATGCCAAAACTGCGCACGCAAGGATGGCGACAGTTCACAAGAGCAGTACCAGCGCCCTGGGCGAGATTTCTACGGCGCCCCCTAACTGCAATTCAAACCCATACGAAAAAACCGGCCAAGTGCGAGTCGACGCCCGTTAAAGTCCAGCGACCCTGGGCTGTCGCCCAACCGCGCCATGTCCTAACGCCGGTACTGCAGCTGCATAAACCCGGCAGGTAAAAGCAATAGATGCGCAAAGCCAGTGCGTCAATGCCACGCGACCTTGTACGCGAATTGCAATAGATGCGCAAAGCCGGCGGCGCGTTGATGCCACGCGACCTTGCGCACGAATTGCAATAGAGACGGTACCTGTGATAAGAACTAAACTAAAATGTGCTGCATGCGACAGCGCGATAGCGCGAAGAATCTGACGCGTAGCATCTCGCACGGCGAATGCGATAAGAAAGTGGTTTATACACAAACGCTGATATGATTCAAAACGAATACAATTCGATTTTATGATTTTTAGTTCATGCTAGTGAACTAAAATTTAAATAATGAAATAATGATTTATGATTTGAGTTTTATTCAAGCATTTATTGAAGTAAAGAATTCCGCAAAAGATATCAATTTTCTAATTGCAAGAAATCAGGAAATCAGATACTATGAATGATAAAAATTTTACTTACCAGTGTATCGAACACGGCAAATCAAATATGAGTAGATACTGAAATAAAGAAGAAACAAAACATTAGTTACACAATTTCGGACCATGAGTTCCGACGGAACCCAAAGTTTAACATAAATTTCGTTTTGTTCTCCATTATTATTCAAATTAGTATTCGTACCAGGTAACACACTGAGTCAACGAGTTGTGCAGAAGTCAAAAATGATTCGCAGAAGTCCAAAATATTATTTATAATTACACACAAAGTCAGCCGGCCGGCGTCCGACGGCAACCGATCAGAAATCCACGCGAAAATGTAATAAACACACAAAATATTGAATTCCGAAGATTACATACGCGATAAATATTTACCGAATGTCCAATTAACACTAAGTTCAATAAAATATAACGCGATATACTGAATTTACAACGAGAAACACGAATACTCGGCGGAGTATTCTTATCTGCCGCACGAAGTAAGAGCTGCGTGCCGGCACTGTGCACGTCGACTCTCACTCGCAGGAATATTTTTAGTTAAAACATGCATCGTGGCGCTACCTGAGAATACTTTATTGTACCTCCAGAAAATACAAAACGTTTCAAAAAGTGTGGCATGCATATGAGGCAGTGAGCGATTGCCTATGTATCAGTGAGTGGTCACGCACGTAAGTGGCAGTGTCCGTGTATCACACGTACACGAGAGGGCGCATGCACCACCCTATCTAAACAAATAGCAATTTTACACATAACTCGAAACTTCAAATATAGAAATCAATAGGATATACTTATTCAAAAAAATTAATCTAATTATAATATTATTGTAATTATTATTATATTATTAATTTATAGTTTTATCGATGATTTTCGACAACGAATATCTTCTAAAGATTGGAGAATTCTCTATCAGATGGAACTAATTAAATAAATAAAAATATTTAATTTAATGAGGTAAAAAGTATAAAACGGCGACTGAAACTGCTAAAAATTACAATTTTTCAATTGTTAATGAGGAACGAATCGTAAAGTCTTAATTATTAAAATTAATAAAACTCCTCATGCGCTATCAGAATCCGATAAAAAATTGAACATTTCACAAAGGTTTTCCGCAATATGATCCGTTTTTCATATTACCATTACGTGAACTATATACGGTCCCCCTAATTAGCGGGCTATTGCAACACGCAGGTGAAATGTGATAAAACAATAATATAATATAACTTAAGTATAAATATATATATATAAATATACCAATGCAGCGCTCATCGGATTCCAAGGGAACGGCAAGTTTTACTGTAAATAAAAGAAAACATAAGTTAGAACAAAAACATTTCATACAATATGATAATATTATATTATATATACATATGGGAGAAAACAAACTTTCAGTGCTGAGAATCGCAAGGGTCAGATAAAAGTAACTTACTCAAGCCCGAATAGGTTTTCGATTGATCTAGCGACGGACCACATCCCACAATAAACGAAATATTTGATTTAACACAATTACTTATTAAGAAAACACTGCAGATGCATATTACGACTACGTCGATTGATGACCGAATATAAGGTAAACTTTGAAAATAGAAATATGATAAAAACAAACGCGTTGCACAATATACATCCGGACACGGCAGAGACGGGCACGAAACTGGCTGCAATCCATCAATAAACAGTTCACAATAAGACTCTGTACCTGCTGCATAAACCCGGCAGGTAAAAGCAATGGATGCGCAAAGCCGGCGGCGCGTCGATGGCACGCGACCATGTGCATGAATTGCAATAGACACGGTACCCGTGATAAGAACTAAACTAAAATGTGCTGCATGCGACAGCGCGACGAGAATCTTACGCGTAGCATCTCGCACGGCGAATGCGATAAGAAAGTTGTTTATACACAAACGTTGATAATAGAACTGTCTTCAAAACTAATACAATTCTATTTTATGATATTTAGTTCATGCTAGTGCCATCTCTGAATAGAATTTACGATGCGACAATTCACAATAAAACACTACGCCTGTTGTATGAACCCCGCAGGTAAAAACAATAGATGCGCAATGCCGGTGTGTCGATGGCAGACGACCTTGTGCGCGAATTGCAATAGATGCGCAAAGCCGGCTGCGCGTCGATGGCACGCGTCTTTGAATGTGAAAATTTGTAAACTTTGAAATGAATTTGAATTAGTTTGAAGAGTTTCAAGAAAGATGTATCAACTTGTACTTCCATTTATGTATAAATGGACGTAATACATCAGTTTGTATGTATTTCGTTGCCATAGTAACAATCATTCTGAAATGTACACATCAGTGTCCTGGTTGTGGCTGACAGAAATCGAAATAGATTCTTCTTTATAATCATGTTTTCTGCTAATATTGTAATAAACGATGGCGATTTTACCAAAACAATTTATACCATGGTACCCACTAATTAAAAAGTGTGTCTTTGTATTAATTAAATTACTTTTCAGATTAAGGAAGGGCAACATGCAGAAGCCATCAAAATTCTACATGGCATTCCGGAATCGAATACTTGTCAAGCTGGATTATCCCTGCTGGCATATTGCTATTTTCATGTTCAGGATTTTAGCAATGCCGCAACTTACTACGAACAGTTGACACAGCTTTTTATGGATAATAATGATTATAAGATTTATTACGCGCAATCTTTGTATCAAGCTTGTTTGTATGATGAAGCTTATAAAGTTTCAGAAACTATCATTGATGAAGAATATGCTCCAAGGGTAAGACGTAGTCTACTGTAATTTTCAGTTAAGCATTAGTGAAAATAAATTCGAAATTGTAGGTGACAAAGTTACAAGCTGCCATTAAATATGGACAAGAAGATTTGACAGTTGCAAAACATTTGGTTGATTCTTGTAGTACCGAAGATCCTGATACAGAAGTGAATTTAGGGTGTTTGTTGTATAAAGATGGTCACTACGAGGAGGCTTTGAGCAAGTTTATGACTTCATTACAGAATATTGGTTTTAAACCGTTTTTGAGTTACAATGTTGCCTTGTGCCATTATAGACTTAAAGAATACGGTCCTGCACTTAGAAATTGTGGTAAATTGTTTGCAAATTAATATACAAGCACCTTCTGTAACAATTTATTTTAGCTGATATCATTGAGCGGGGAATTAGGGATCATCCTGAATTAAGTGTCGGAATGCAAACTGAAGGTATCGAGGTGCGATCAGTTGGAAACACTCTTACCTTACATGAAACAGCTCTGACTGAAGCATTTAATTTGAAGGCAGCTATTGAATATCAAATGAAGAATTGTGCGTTGATTTTTATAAATTATTTTGTTATTAATTTCGAATATTTTCAGTGGATGCTGCCAGAGAAGCTTTAACTGATATGCCACCTCGTGCTGAATATGAATTGGACGCGGTGACTCTTCACAATCAAGCTCTAATGAATATCGATCAGAACCCCGCTGAAGGTTTTGAAAAGTTACAGTTTTTATTGCAGCAGAATCCGTTTCCTCCGGAGACATTCTCAAATTTGTTGTTGCTGTATTGTCAGCATGAATGTTATGATTTAGCTGCAGATATACTTGCTGAGAATGCACACTTAACTTATAAATATTTAACTCCAGTGAGTTTCAAATTTAATATTTACTACAAAGCATACTAAACTTATTATACTGTAGTACCTTTATGATTTTCTGGATGCAATCATAACTCAACAAACATCTCCTTCGGAAGCGTATCAAAAGTTGGATGATCTAGCAAATCGTCACACAGAAGTGCTAAGAAAACTTACCAAGCAGGTTCAAGAACACCGCAACAACAACGATACCGAAATGGTAAAGAAAACCGTCATGGACTACGAAGAATGTTTGGATCGTTATATCCCAGTGCTGATGGCCCAAGCAAAAATATACTGGGAGATGGAAAACTATCCACAAGTGGAGAAAATTTTCCGCAAAAGCGTGGAATTTTGCAATGACAATGACACGTGGAGACTTAACGTAGCACACGTGCTATTCATGCAGGAGAACAAGTTCAAAGAAGCTACCGGTTTCTACGAGCCAATTGTAAAGAAACACTACAATGATGTAAGTTTAAGTTTAATTTAATTATAAAGTTTATAATTAATGTTCTGCTGTTCTTTTTAGATTCTGAACGTCAGCGCAATTGTATTAGCAAATTTATGTGTCTCCTACATAATGACATCACAAAATGAAGAAGCTGAGGAATTGATGCGAAAAATCGAAAAAGAAGAGGATCAGTTGGCCTATGAAGAGCCAGACAAGAAATATTTTCATCTGTGCATTGTTAATTTGGTAATTGGGTAAGTTCTGCGACAAATTTGAAGAAATGCTAAATTTATTGATATATAATTTACGTTCTCGGTTTTCCAGCACTTTGTATTGTTCTAAAGGCAATTATGAATTTGGAATCTCGCGAATTATGAAGTCTTTGGAGCCGTATAACAAGAAATTGGGCACGGACACATGGTTCTACACTAAACGTTGTTTTCTCAGCATGATTGAGAATTTATCAAAACATATGATTGTTTTGCGGGATGAAGTTATTCAAGAGTGTATTAGTTTCCTGGAGAGTTGCGAAAGTAAGTCAATTGCTGCATTTGTATTCATTAGTTAACATATTTCGTTTTAACCCAGTGTATGGAAAAGGAGTTAAAACAGTGGCTGTATCACCGTTTACTGAAGAAGATGACACACCGAACGGACAGCAAACGGTTACCTTCGAAGCGCGTGCAATGAAAGCTCTTCTTCTTAAATTGCAAACCTATTAAACAAATAGCACAATTACATGTGAGTTTCTTTTTATAAGTTCTATATTAATGTAACAAACGAAAACAACTACAAGTCTCATGTTACAATTTCATAGTAACATAACATTCCATAAAAATGAGTATTATTATTACAGGTAATGATGTAAACTGCATGTACTACTTCAGTAAATAGAGAAAAGGCTTGTTCGACTGTAGGTGAAGAAACGTATTCGTTCATAGTATTGCACTGTGTCTAATATGAAATATTCAACTGTGGCACTCAGCATGCATTGTTCAAAATTGATAAAAAATGTATCACCGTTCTCTTCTTCTTTTTGTCCTAGAGTTAAGTAAGTGTATCACTATAATTCAATTTGTTCAATAAAAAAAGCAAGTTTAAAACTATTTCAATTGACTGTCTGGTCTGCTTCATTTGGTTGTTTACTGGTATAAGTGTATGTAATTATGTTAAATCGTTAAGATATCATTGGTTACTAGTCCCTGAATGAGGATCTAAAGCGGGTAGTAGCAATATAAAACGCTAATTATTCAACTATAGCACTGGATGCCATTTTGTTCACGCCACAGGTGCCATCGCCTCTGTAAACTCGGTAATATCCTTGTTCGCCCCACCTTGGTCCCCACGAGTTCTTAACTATCCAATAAGGAAGCGTTTTGTTGAACAATTTGTACTCTGAGAAGTTGCATTAAGAAATATTAGAATATTAAACGTTTTTTAAATATAAATAATACTTACTGTGTACTCCGTATCCAACAATAAGCACTCCATGATCCATGGAGTCAGGATCACACAAAAATTTAGGTGGATGTGAAACGCCACCCATGTACAGTTGCATAGCGTTCGCATTGATTCCTATCGAAATCGGACCATTTTTCACTAAAAATTTAGCCATATCATCTTCGTTCTGGCTAACATTTACCGCGCCAGATAATTTTACGCGAGTCAATGAGGGCTTAAAAACACATTTTTCATCTTCTGCATCGTATGGATAATCACTTTCCAATTCTAAACCTCCCAACTCCTCAATAGCTCTATACGCATTATCCATTAAACCACCATTACATCCCTCGTCCATTTTATCGCAATCAACCAGTTCCTGCTCGGAAAACTCCAACAATTTGTCATGTTTGATCGCATATTGCCCCTCAACATTACCGGTAACACTGAAAGCCCAACAACTGCCGCATTGGCCTTGATCTTTCACATGTGTTACAGCACCTTTCGTCCTCCAATCAAATTCAGTGGGTAAGTCAATCTCTGGAATCTTTGCCGGTCCGTAAGGAATGGCATTTTCGTCGCGTAATTCTGGCCTATAGCCTAAATACTGTCTGAATTCTGCTGGGTGTAAATCAGCAAATCTAGAAGCACCATAAATAGCGCTGCCTTGTTCATGTTTCTGCAACTCTTCAGCTTTCTTCATATTCTCCATGAAAATAGAAAATCTATAATTTATCTCTTTAAGAGTCGCGTATTTCTTGTCGTATTTCTTCTGAAAATCAAGGAACTGTTCAGGTATTGATAAACCACTGTCAAAGGAAGCAGATCTTTTAGATCTGAAAGTGTGATGTTCTTCATCACATGTCACATTGGTTTCTTTGCCATGTGGCAACCAAGGCTGATCCCAAATCTTAATATGACAGGTCTTAACAGTAGCCTCTTTCTTCGCTTCACAGAGCTCCGAATCCTTATTCGCATGTTTCGGACAATTCGATTCAACTATGTCAACCTTCAGCTTATACAATACACCAGCAACTACTTGCTTGGAAGCTTCGTGAATCTTAACAATTTTATATTTATTATCTTGCGAGGATTTTGAATCAAGCTGAACTAAAGTTTCCTTAGCAAGTTTTAACATATCCGGATCATTCGTAGAATCAATTGGTGCTCCTGGAACCTGTCGTTTCGTGCGATGAGACTCAATAGACCTACGCGATCTAAACGTGTGGTGTTCCTGGTCACAAGTAACATTAGTTTCTGTGCCCTGTGGCAACCAAGACTGATCCCAAATGACAATATCGCACGTCTTTGGAACAGCGGCTTCCTTCTCTCCGCACAGAGAAGAATCTTTGTTGTCATTTTTCAAACAGTCTGACTCAATAATATCGACTTTGAGTTTAAATAGGAAACCAGACACAACTTGTCTGGAAGCACTGTGAATTTTAACTATTTTATACTTATTGTCGTGTGAAGACTTTGAATCCAATTTGACTAAAGTTTGTTTAGCTATGGTTACCATTTCTGGGTCTTTAGTCGCATCGGAAGGAGCCCCTAAACCGGCGCGTTTTGTGCGATTTTTATCCACATCGCGTTCAATCTGATGGCAGCGCGACTTCAACAGCTTGGCGTGATCTTTAGAATAGTGAATTACCAACTTACACAACTTGTCATTTTCGAATGGGAAGCATTCGCCGATCTCGTTACACTTTGTTGCCGCGAATCTTACCACCATATGATACACAGCCCCTTCAAGTTCCAGCTTTTTAACGCGGACGACTTCGAGGACTTCGTGTTTCCAAGTGTCATCATCAAGACTTTCACCAGCAAACTTGGCCAACTCGTCAACCAATTCTTTTTCGGCGTTGTACTCATTCACATTACGTTTGTCCCTATTATTGCAGTCATTTTCGGTTGAATCGGAAGAACTTGAACTCGACGAACCCTTCTTTTTGCTGTACTTACACGGTTGACTTGTTTTCTTTACGGGAACAGTTTTGGTGCTTTGATAAATACAATCGTTAGTTGGATCATTATCAAAATCATTGCACGCTATAGGTTGAACGTTGTTTTTCTTATAAGGGCAATCAACAACATCGTCGCCTGCATCACATGGCGACTGTTGGTACTTCTTACGTTTACGTTTGTGTTTCTCATCGCTGTCCGAACTGCTACTGCTACTACTTTCGTCTGACCGTTTCTGTCTCTGGAGCACAGGATCAGTTGTTCCAACTACAGTTTGCTGAGCACCAGCTGCCGCTTCAGTTTTCTTCTCATCACTTTCTTCAGATGATGAAGAAGCATCTGTGGTTGTCTGTCTTTTGTGCCGATCTTCAACTGATTCTGTACTCTCTTCCGATTCACTACTGGATTCATCCTTGGGCAATTCCTTAAAGGGTTTTACAGTCTCGGAAGCAACAAAACTATCAGTACTGGTTGGCAATGACGGTACATCCTCAACAGCCAATTGTGAATTATCCATACCGAACTTGGTAGTCTCCACTTCCAACGGGCGAACAGATAACAATGGCTCGGTGGCATCTGTAGGATCTGTAGGTATAATCTGCGCATCTAAATCTAATAAACGCGCCGGACTCAATTCAGGCTCTAGATTACCGGTCTCGGCCATTTTCTCGTAGTTTGGACTTTCTGGAACTGCTTCCGGAATCTCTGCGGATTTCTTGTATTCATTATTAACATCAATTTCATTGTCGAAATCATTACGATTTTTCTTAACGCTAACGGCCGCAAAGTCCTGTGACTTTGTGCAGTTATTACCGATGATATGCTTATCATCACTAATCCAGGGCTTCTGAATAAATTCGATGCGGCAGACTTCAAGAGCAGCGTCCGAATCAATCGCACAGATTGGAGGATTTTCAATAAGATGCGCGTCACATACAGTTGGTGCAACTTCCAACAGCAGAATAAATTTGACACCGGAAACAATTTCACGCTGCAATCGCAAAACTCTAACCGAAACGTGTTTCTTCGTTTTTTCAGCTTCCAAGTGATGCAAAGCAGTAGTGATAAGATTCTCCACTCCAGGCACGTTAGTATCCAGATCTACGGTGCAACCTGGACAATATCCTGGTTTTAAAACTGGTGGAGAGCTGCTTGTTTGTTCTTTCTAGCAAAAAATAAACAAACAAAATCATTAATCCGATAATAAATATTATTCCAATCAGAATACTTAAATCATTTAAACTTACAGTAGTGGTTTCAACAAGAACTGGTTCACCCTCTGTCACCTGAATCTTCTCTTGACAATCAAGCCCTGGCAGCGTTTCAAAACTGTTGGTATTTGCAAAGTACTCGACATACGCCTTGCATGTGAAAATAGTATTGGAACATCCAGACTTGCTTTGCGCGTAGCATTCGGCGACAACCTCGATTTCAATGAAAGTGACATCATCCGTCTAAAAACCACAACAACCACAAGTCTGATTAAGAATCGCGACGTATATAGAATGATTGAAAAATGATTAACATGACATACTCTGCTGGATAAAAACACAACATGTTTGCATGCACGCAGAAATGATTAAAGTGCAAAAGTTATCAACTGGACCAAAGTATGTGAAAACATTTACAGCATTGACGCGTTTTCATTGCCATTAACATTTGCACTTTTCAAATATTTTGAACAAACATTGTATGAAAGTCAAATAAGTTAAGTGCAACTATTTAAACCACAATTAATTGAGTTCCTCATTAATTATTCAAATGCGTAAATTAACATAGAATTGTTATAGTAACAAGTTGCGGTTTAAAATAACAATAAAACACCTTAAAGTTAACAAAAACTCCGTGAGTTTAGTCCGTTACTCTAAACTCGTGGAACGTATGTGTTTATATTTAAGTTTTCATGACTTAAAGATGAATCGGCCGCAAGATGCAAACACGCATACAAAGTAATGCACTGCCGTACAAATTTAGAATTGCTACCTTTTTTTGCGTATTAAGCAAGTCGCTGAAATTGTAGTTGTACTGGCGTTCCGGGTCGGCGTTCAAATCGTCAATCACACTCCAGATTTGCGGGCGGTATTTGGCATACAGGTCTTGCGCCTCTTGCGCATTCTTTTCGATTGGTGAGCTGCTAACGAGCACGCCACTGTGCAGGTGCAACAGCAGCAAAATAAGGGGCTGCCAATGCAGCGCCATTCTTGGAAAATCACCGATGCAGCGGATGCAGGAACTTGGACAACACACGACGACACGGCTTTCGCACTACCGTCTGCTTAGCGATCTCGGCGCTTTCTGTTTACTTTATTCATTCTGTACGTGAAGTTCTTGCGTGCGGCAAGTGAGACGCAAAACGGCATTTGTGCGGGAGGAGAATTGTCGGCAGGTGGCGCCATCTATGTAGTTCTAGTATTTATTAAACATCAAAATACAGCGTGAAACTGTAATATCAGAAATTACAAATAACTTACAGTTATTACAACTTTACGGTTCATTTACTGATAGATAAGTTAATTATATAGTTAAAAATATACAAATCAATTGAAACAATGTAGCATACATCATTTTCAAAACTTTCTTTTACTTATTTGAAAGACATAATGTCAAAGTGCGTAAATTGACCGCTTGATGGCAAACGTAGGCACAATTTCTCACTAATTTCCGAATATTGTGGAGATCTTTTTGCGACACATTTATTTCAGATTTCTGAGCATAGATTAATCATTTTTTGACATCACCCGAAATAAACTATTACTACTCGTTTCCAAAAAAATATTAAGGTAAAGTGTAACACCCACACTAAAGTTATCTCATTTTTTGTTCCGTGCATTTGCATTTTGAATACATCAAACCATAAAAACTTGTGTAACTTGTGTATCGCTTGTAAAAAACGACATAATTTTAATGACCACGAAGCCTGTGGCTGCTGTGTAAAGTCCGCCGCATGAATCGTGCGAACCGCTAACATGGCTAACATTTTATTTATTTATAAACGAAAATGACATAAGCAATCTTCGCCCGCAAACGAAATTGCATTCGACGCGCGTAATAGCCAATGATATAATGAATATAATATTAAAAGTAAACACTACAACGGACGCATAATTAAATGTAGAAGTACGCGTGAGTCAGTTGTGAACAACCTGTGACCGCATCGAAAATAGAATGCGCACGCAGCAAGAACAAAAAACAATTAATTGCTGCAATTATGAAGGTCGTTTTTGTTCGAGCGTTTTTGGCGAAACAAACTCCTAATACAGAACGTGTGCAAAGAGTTGTAAACATACGCTGGCTAAAAATAACTGATCGTTCGGATACATAATGCAATTTAAACTATTGCGCACATTATTACACTCAAGTACTTTATAGTAAGTGGACGGTATTGAGGTCTTGATTAATTTCCTATCAGAGAATTGCGATTAAACTTGAAATACACAAGGAAAAAAATTAGATTTATGGGTTTTTCCTTTGTTTTATTATTTTGTATTTGTTTGAGATCATGGACGTTTTAAAAATGGGTAAAGAGTATATAATACACATTTTGATCCATAGCTGTTTATTGTTTTAAGGACGTCTTTATTAGAAGCGTTTAATAATGAATGCATAGTTATTTATAACCTGCGCGCACTTGCAGACGGGCCAGTGTACCTACATTATGTCGTAGTTGATAGCTAAACGATTTGACACACTCTCAAGCAGACCTGAGAACTGGCTGAATTGCAAGCTGCGCAAAACCAATATCATTATAATTAGAACGAGTACTAATCGCGCTTATAAAACAACGCGAGTGAAACATAAGCAAGTTGAGATTAATTGAAATTCCCGTGGCTTAACGTTGGCCAGGTGCGCTTAATTGCGGAACCTTGTATTTTTTTCTGTTATTTGGTTAAGTTTTATTGCACTTTGTGCTGCAGTTTTTAATTTGAGTTATAGTAAAGTATAACTACGGTGTAAAATGAGAATCACGGGAAGGTTGCAAAGGTGCTGGGGCCAGTTCGTTGGTAATTAAATAACGAAACACGTTATTTATGTACAAACTTTTTTGCGTGAGCGAAACTGATCTATTATTGAGTATTTTTGTTATGTTTGAAAAGTTGTAGGTTTAGAATAATCAGTATTATAGCATTTCTAATTAGGATTAACATAACTATTTGTAAAAGAAAGATAAAGATAATTAATGTTAAGTAAAAGTAAATTCTTGTATATTTACTTACTCGTATATATAATATTATTCCAAAGAGCATCGTAAAATCAATAATGAGTAAATAATTGTTTGTTAATACTTTTGATAGAAAAAGACATTAAGATTTATACTTTAAAGCTATAATTCGACTTAAATCATTAAACTATAGTTTAACTACACATTAATCAATGCAATCTTCCTGGCAATAAAGTTGCGATTGTAACATGAATAGAGGAAGTTTAAATAATGATACAAATCTGTGCATAAACGTCCAAATTTACAAATTTATAATAATAATAAATTACCTACCACCTAACCTAACTTTTAACTTAGCTTAACCTATTTTAAAAATTCAAATAAATTTGTCTTTAACACATCAATAATGAATACTATGCTTTTATTACTCAGGTATTCCTCACCTGTGTAATAAAAGCTACCACTACATTAGCTAGATACCTAAATATCTATTATTAGCAAAAGTATAAAATTTTATGAACGCTCCATTGCCCAACTCGCAGTACTGAGATGTTTCGTCTTAAACTTTAGCAATTGGCAAGTAAAACTTGGATGCTTAACCCAGTTAAGTGAAATGTTCAGTACATAAGGAATGAATGCGATATTGTTTTCAATAACTTTTCTATATAAATCACAAAGCAGCAAATTCTGACTTTGCACGTAAAGTTTTCCGAAGTTCAAAACAACTTTTGTCTGAAACCGGTGACAAATTCAACGAAAAACATTGATAACTGAATTTCAGCTCATTATTCTTATTTAAAATTCTTATAATAATTCACATAATGATATTAGTAATTTGTTTTTGATATAGAATTATCTCCAACTTAAGTAAACACTTTTATTTGTTTGATAATAACGTAAACTGTTACGTTTGTGGGTTTAGTAAGCAAGTTTTATTATGTTAATATTTATTATGAACTCGTTGCATGTTTATTCCCGATAACTGTGTTAAAATGTACTGAAATGTTGCATACTGGATATTTTATGTGCGCGGACATGAGCTGTCATCCGAAACTGAGCGAATGAGCGAAATCTAATCACTTTCGGGAACTCATCGCAAATCCGCTCGAGATTTGAAGTGTGGCCGGGCAAAATTGGATTCGAATTCGATATAGATTTACAGCACATCACGTCTTGCTCGTAATTGGCTACCATGCTACCGCATAAATCCTGATCTCCATAATACACGAGCAAATAAAATATCTGACGAAATAAAATACGAGAGTTATTCATATATTTTATATGAAACTTTGCGAACATGAATTTTGATATGATTTTCAATAATTGACCTCAATATCAAAAAGATGATAAAATATTGAAGTCATATTGTTTTTTCGAATTACTTATATAAACTTTATAGAAGGCTTTATTATCGACGATCGACGCGTGTCGTCGTGCGTTTTTGTTTACACTTTTGTTTTATTTGTTGGAGTTTTCGTTTCAAATTATTCATGTGTCATTTTGTCCACAAAATTATTTCTTGTAAAAATCACATTGAAATTTCCCGTTAAACATTTTTTAGGTCCTTGTCGATCGTCTCGTTCGATGTGTGGAAAACTTCTGTGATTAGTTCTTGTGGAGTATTTGTGGGGGTTCGTGTGTGAATTGTTCTGACCATAATACAATGGCAATGTTTGATTAATAAGAAGGTGAATATAAATGCGGATATTTTTTTGACAGTTTGTAAGAAACGAAACATTGCAGATTTCATCATAATGAAGAGTGTCATTTAAGGAAAAAGTAAATTGTGATCAAGTGACGTTAGAAGAAATTGAATGGTGGTGATAGAAGTGTGGGATTGGTCTTGCGAGAGCGCGGCTCGCAGCGTCTTAGATACGTCGTTCTGTCAGTGGGTCAGTAGCAACAGCACACACATCCAGTTCACTCGGTCGTCCTTGCGACCAAAGCCCTGCGCCACACAGCCACACTGACACAGAGCGCGAGTGGCGGCGCGGTGCCTGCGCTTTTCCCTCCTCGATGTGATGATGATCCTGCGCCCGACCGCTCGCCGCGCGCTTTCTCTGCACACGGCGGCGCGCGCACCGTGCGCTGAAAATGCCTCGGCGGCCAGGATCCTGCTGACAACATCGTTCGCGGAACGCGCGCGCTCAGCGATTCAGTCAGCCAGTGGCGAGCTTCAAGCACGTTGATCGCGTGCGCTCCGACGACGAACACGCAGAGTGTTGCGGGCACACTCACACTCACGCTGGAAACGCGCGCGCGCGCGTGTATGCATGTGCTGCTCGGTTGTTACGTGCGTTCCCACCGCGCGCCCGCTGCTCGGCCTACACATCCACGACACCCAGCGCGACACCGATCCGCGGCCGCCCGTTGCTGCCGCTCGCGCTCGTGCTCGCGCTGGCACACATTGAAAAGTGAAGTCGCACGCTTTATGCTAATGGACGTCTAAATTTTCAAGATGGCCGCCGATTCGGGTATGGATACGTGCCCATCGCCGGAAATCGCGGACTCCAGGAAGAGGCCGCTGGACGGAGACACGGAAAACGGGGATACGAAACGTTCGCACTTTAGCTCAGGTAAAGCAACCACCAACCTAATTCTATAGTGGCCAGATTTTTGCTCGTTGTCTACTAGTAATCTGTAAGCATCCGGGTAAAACAAAACCGGAAAAGCTCGTGACAATCTAAAATAAAAAAGCAAAGCAAAAATCGGCAGCGGAAAGTTGTGAAACTGTGCGCGCTACCCAGCACTACCATCGTTGGCGTTCCGCGGCGGCGGGGGAAAGAAAAGGGCGTGCTGGGTTCGTCCTGCGAGGAGAGCCTTGAGCCGATCAGCTGTGTGGCAGCGCGAGTGTTGCAAAGTCGCGGCAGCGCTCGCACGCACGCACACAAGGCACGGGGGCAGTCAGCGACAGCAATGCAGGCGAGCAGGAGCAGGCAGCGAGCGCGGCCGGCAGACCAGCAAACGTTCGTGTGACGGCCGCCCGCTTGAAACGCGCAGCCAACGAGACGAAGGCGTTTGCTGCGTGGTGGATGAGCCGCGAGCCGCATCTGGTGCACAGCACAGCAGCAGCGTCGCCGCCACCGCCGCAAACTTATCAGCCATCTAAATGATAAACGAGCCGGCGGAAACGTTCCTCTTTGACGGTCTGTTGTT